ATAATTCCGCCACGTACCATCGCCATGTCACGCGTCAAATGCACTCATCGCATTTGTTATCGTCATCTTGATTATGCTTCGCGCTTCGCAAGGAGACATGAGCGAGTATACTTTCAGCTTGACCTTTCTCCCAACGTGATGGCGGGCAGTCGCGTTGGCTTAGCGGAGTGGTGATCAGTCCGCGTCCGCGCACCATCAGTTGTCGTTGCCCCCGCTCGCTCCAGTTTGGGGCGATTTTGGACAAGTGCTGTGCCGAACCAATAATACTGGTTGCAGTGGTTAGAGGGGTCCCGAACGGTGTGCTCCAAGCGCTGACACTGTGATCACCTTTCGAACCATCGCGATCGCCCGCCATCAAAGAGGGTAAGGGGACTACCGCCACGCTGATAGGTGCGATCACTCTGATCCTTCTGGGCACCTGTGGTATAGGGGTCCCGAACGGTGTGCTCCAATCGCTGATATTTCGATAAACTTTTTAAGCCACCGGGAACGCCCGCCATCAAAGAGGGTAAGGGGACTACCGCCACGCTGATAGGTGCGATCACTCTGATCCTTCTGGGCACCTGTGGTATAGGGGTCCCGAACGGTGTGCTCCAAGCGCTGATATTTCGATAAACTTTTAAGCCACCGGGAACGCCCGCCATCAAAGAGGGTAAGGGGACTACCGCCACGCTGATAGGTGCGATCACAATGATCCTTCTGGGCACCTGTGGTATAGGGGTCCCGAACGGTGTGCTCCAAGCGCTGATACTGTGATCACCTTTCGAACCACCGCGATCGCCCGCCATCAAAGAGGGTAAGGGGACTACCGCCACGCTGATAGGTGCGATCACAATGATCCTTTTGAGCACCTGTTGTATAGGGGTCCCGAACGGTGTGCCCCATTCGCTGATATTTCGAACAACTTTTTAGGCCACTGGGAACGCCCGCCATCAAAGAGGGTAAGGGGACTACCGCCACGCTGATAGGTGCGATCACTCTGATCCTTCTGGGCACCTGTGGTATAGGAGTCCCGAACGGTGTGCTCCAAGCGCTGATACTGTGATCACCTTTCGAACCACCGCGATCGCCCGCCATCAAAGAGGGTAAGGGGACTACCGCCACGCTGATAGGTGCGATCACAATGACCCTTTTGAGCACCTGTGGTATAGGGGTCCCGAACGGTGTGCTCCATTCGCTGATATTTCGAAAACTTTTTAAGCCACCGGGAACGCCCGCCATCAAAGAGGGTAAGGGGACTACCGCCACGCTGATAGGTGCGATCACTCTGATCCTTCTGGGCACCTGTGGTATAGGGGTCCCGAACGGTGTGCTCCAAGCGCTGATATTTCGATAAACTTTTTAAGCCACCGGGAACGCCCGCCATCAAAGAGGGTAAGGGGACTACCGCCACGCTGATAGGTGCGATCACAATGATCCTTTTGAGCACCTGTGGTATAGGGGTCCCGAACGGTGTGCTCCATTCGCTCATATTTCGATAAACTTTTTAGGCCACCGGGAACGCCCGCCATCAAAGAGGTGCGATCACAATGATCCTTTTGAGCACCTGTGGTATAGGGGTCCCGAACGGTGTGCTCCAATCGCTGATACCGTGATCACCTTTCGAGCCACCAGGAACGCCCGCCATCAGAGAATGTAAGGGGGCTACCGCCACGCTGATAGGTGCGATCACAATGATCCTTTTGAGCACCTGTGGAAAATAGACCCTTGCGCGGTCCAGTTCACGGTCGTTGCTTGCCGGTGAGAGGCGCGGAGGTCGATTCGCCACCGTCTCCGTGGTAGCGGCGTCGCCGTGGTGGGGGAGGGTGGGGTGGTGGGGGGGTATGGGGGCGGGGCGGTCCCTCCATTGTTGGCCACCCCAGCAAGCCCGCATTACATAGGCCCTTTCGCGACCCAGTTCATGGTCTCGGCTTGCAGGTTAGTGGCGCGAAGGTCGAATCGCCACCGTCTGGTGATGGCTATGAGTTCTCAAGTTTGACCCTGGGACTTCAATTCCATGGGCAAAAAATCATCAACAACCAATAGAACATCAATGATTTTGCCTCTCGGGGCCTTCTTTGGAGTGCTCTTGGAGGCCTCTTTGGGGCCGTCCTGGAGGCCTCTTGGGCCATCTTGAGGTCACGTCGGTCACTCTTGGAGCGCTGTTGTCTTGGGGGTCTCTGGGACGTCTCCGATGACCCCCCTGATCGCCCTAGGTGTGCTGGGAAGGCTTGGCAAAACGCCCTGCGAGGCCCAGGGGGCCGCTTCGAGGCCCGTCCAGAGGGTCCCCAAGCCCCAGATCCAGGGAATCCTTTTTTTGTGGGGGAGGGGGTCCCCCCGCCCGGGCTTGGTGAAAATATGAGAATACATCCCCAGGCCGAAAGTTTTTTCTTCTTGGACTAAAAATATGGGAACATCAACGGATCCAATTGGATCCTTTTTTCGGGCGTGGGAGAGTGTCGTGGATCCTATTTCTGTGCTGCGCGGATCCAATTTCCTGCGTGTGAAAAATCGATGGATCCATTTATTTCCCGGGAATAAATATATATATAATATATAAAAATAATAATTATTATTAACCTCTGGGACCCAGGGGAAATGGGATCCGCGGAGCACCGCAAGCGAAGCATCATGCTATCCACGGAGCTATGGATCTGCAGACCTATGCTATGATTCTACGGGGGAGGGGGGTTTTCCCAGGATGAAGAGGGGAAGGATGAGGGAAGAGGCAAGAGGAGGTGGGAGGAGAACAGAGGGGATCGGCGCGTCGCTTCCGACATGTGGGGCTCAAGAGGAAAATCTTTCGGCCTGCGAAAGTATATTTGTATATATACATATATATATATATATACATATATACATATGCATATGTATATATACATAATACATATATATATATATGTATATATATATAGATATATATATATATATATATATATATATAACACGGCGCACGGGTCCGTGGGCCCAGGGCCGGCCCTTGGACCGCAAATGTGGGTGTGCAGGCCTTTTGGTGGGCCCTCAGGCCTGCAAAACGCCACAAGAAAGCGCCAAGAGAACCCGAAGACGCTCCAAGAGGGACCCAGGACGCCCAAAGGCCGCTCCAAGACGCCCACGATGGCCCCGAGACGGCCCAAAAAACTTCAAGACGCGCCCCCAAAACGGCCCAAGAGGCGCGAAAAACGCCACAAGAAAGCGTCACGAGACCCCGAAGACGCTCCAAGAAGGAACCGAAACACCCAAAGGCCGATCCAAGACGCCCACGATGGTCCCGAGACGGCTTTTGCCAGCCGCTCTTCCTTTGTCTGCTGCGGAGTGTGCGACGGTATCCAGAAAAAAGGGGGCCAGAGGGAGTATTGGAACGGAAATCTGAAGCTCTCCGTCCCTAGAGGTCCCCAGGAGGCTCCAAGAAGCACCCAAGGGGCGCCCAAGAAGCGCCGAAGAGGCCCCCGAGACGCTCCCAAGAAGCTCCAAAACGCCCCCAAGAGCCCAGAAGCCCCGAAGCACCCCTGGCGATCCCGAGGGAGCTCGGAAATCCTACATTTTCGCATATCCGCCTGATTCGCTTTCCCAGCGTCCACGACAGCCCCAGATGTCCCCAAGACGGCCCTTCCACGGGGGGTCCCAGACGAAGATTCGGAACGGATGTTTCCGCTCCCCGGCCGGAGAGCACCCCAGGAAGCTGCAGGATACCCCGTGAAGCCCCCAAGCTGGTCCCAGAGGCCCCCAAGAGATTCTAAGACAGCCCAAGACGCCACCAAGACAGCTCGAAGAGGCTTCTAAGATGGCCCACCACCGCCCAAAACAGCCCAAGAGGCTTCCAAGACAGCCCCAAAGGTTCCGGGGGTCTTTGGGGGCCGTCCTGGGGCCGCCTTGGGACGTCCAGGCGTCCTCTTAGGCCGTCATGGTCCCCTCTGGAAGCTTTTTCGGGCCAGCTTGAGGCTCTTTTGCGTCGGTCCTGGGCTCTCCATGGGCCCTCTTGGGAGGAGAAGGAGGAGGAGGAGGAGGAGGAGGAGGAGGAGGAGGAGGAGGAAGTGGAGGGGGGAGGAGGAGGTGGAGGGAGGAGGAGGAGGAGGAGGAGGAGGAGGAGGAGGAGGGAGGAGGAGGAGGAGGAGGAGGAGGAGGAGGAGGAGGAGGAGGAGGGGGGAGGAGGAGGAGGAGGAGGAGGAGGAGGAGGAACGGGGGGGGAGGAGGAGGTGCAGCAGGACGAGGAGAGAGAAAGAGAGAGAGAGAGAAGGATATATCTATATCTATATATATATATAAAAAGAGGATTTGAAGACGCCGCCGAGCAGGAAGTCCACATGCAGGAGCTTAGACAAATCGCCTCTTGGATGCCTTTAGGGCCGTTCTTCGTGCGCTCTTGGGGACAACTTGTAGGTTTTTGGGGGCCCTCTTGGGGACCGCTGGGGCCTCTTCGTCGCCAAGCGTTGGACTCCAAGCTATGTAGAACCGGAGCGCGCGCGAAGCGCGCGCGATGGTTCTAGTATATATATATATATATATATATACATACATGTGTATATATATATATATATATATATATATACATATATAGCGAGCGTAGCGAGCGTGCTGTCGGCGTTTGGCTCAAGACGCCGGCGCCCTATTTGCCTAGATTGGCCGTGGCTTCGGCAATCTATTGTCGTACCAAAAAACAAGATTTGATCTGTCTTTTGGATGGTACACAATCTTTTGTCTACCTTCCAACCTATTACCAAATGGTCCTCATCCTGCTTTTTATTCACCCAACACGCACACACACAAACATACACACACACATACATACGCACACTTCTGAAATTCGACGTTGCGAAAAATTGCAGCATCGTAGAAAATCGCGACCGAAACCGTAGACCACATCTTTCTGCGCCGCTTTCGAAGCAGATCCATATGTGAGGGCCCCGGGGCCCGAAATTTGGCGAAAACGCCCGGACCGGAAACATTTGGACGCCAGGGCATCAGGGCACACGAGTCGCGCGAGAAGGCGCTGTGCAAAGGGTGGCGGGCCTGCCCCACCGAGCCATGTCGGCTCTGGCCGGCGGGCCCCTCCCCGCCGCCCGGGGCTCGGCCGGGCAGCCCGCAGCGGCGCTCGCGTGCCCTGGGGCCCGCGCCTCCGGCGCGGGAGGGACGGCCTCGCGAGGCGCGGCCGGGCCAGGCATTCGGAGGAGAGCTGGCGGCATGATCGGACGGGGCGACGACCCTCCGCGAAGTTTGACGCAAGTTTTCCCGCCCCCCCTGGCGCTCCCAGTTTCAATGTTCAGTTGCGCGCGCGGCGCGGTGCGCGGACGCCCACAGACAAAAATCAAGCCGCGTGTTTCGGCGTCAACAGTGAAATTTGGGGGGTCTGAGGTTGCCGACGCGGCGCGGGAAAAAATTGCATTGAGTTTCTTGCGGAAGGATGTAGGACGAGGATAAATTAATCGCCACGGGGGAGCGGGTCCCGAGGGAAACGAGTTTTGACGTTTTTCGCCGTTTTCGGGCTCCAGGGCCCTCCACAGGCCCCGGGACGTGGCAGAAAACGGCTCAGGATGAAGAATTTTTATCCTGGGGGCAGACCCGAGGATCCAGGATCCGTTTCCCTCAGGACCTGTTTCCCCTGTGCTAAATCAATGGCGCTTTGTGGGCGCGAAGATACTCGCGCTTCCTGCTTTGGCTCCGATTCCTCCTCATCCTCCTCTTCTCCCCAGGGGGGCGGTCCGAGAGCGCGAAGCTATTCCCACTTCGCGCTTCGCGCAGCGCGACGCGCGAACTTTGGAGCCCTTGATAAATATTACAGAGCGTTCCGGAATGCTCTCGGAGCGTTCCGGAGCGCTGTGAGAAGGCCGCGGCGCCCGAAACATGTCCAGAGCCGCCAGATCTCAGAGATTTCCGATTTATCCTTACACGCATTTATCCTCGTCTCAGCTTTGTCTTAGCTTTCGGAAGTCCTGGCGGATGTCTTGAATCGGCGCTGGGCTCCCTTTGAGGCGTCTCCGGCGCCGCCCCTGGCGCGCTCCGCGCCAGGGGGGTCCAGCGTGATCCACAAAATCCGCGCGGACCTACGAGGCTTTATGTTACATGCAGTCTTTCCTTCTTGTTCTTCGGGAAGGGCGGCCCCGCCGGCCATGTCGGGGATGGCCGCCGCCCGCGCTGCGGGCTCCATTGTCGTCAACGGGCTGGAGCTGTTCGGGGGCATCGGCCAGGCGCTGGAGTTCAAGATGTCCCAGGCGCACCACGAGATGGACTGCAGGTACAGCCGCATCAACCTCCACCAGGACATGCAGAGCCTGCGGCTCGACGCCCTGGACCACGGGAAGGAGGAGATCCGCGAGAATTACGACATGTACGTTGGGCGGATCGAGTCCTTGCTGCTGGTGCTTGCCCTCATATGGCCTTTCGCGCTGAGCACGATCCAGTTCTCGGACCCGTTCATTCCCGTCGTCGACTCCGGGGACTGCCCCGACGGGGACTGCCCCATCGAGGAGGATTTCAAGATTCTGGTGCACATCTGGGTGTGCCTGATCGCCCTCGTTCTGGTCCTCCCGTTCTGGGGGATTCTCTGCCTGATCAGAGTGAAGCTGACGCTGGACGCGTGGCTGGAGGAATCCCTGGCGGGCCTGAAGGAAGATAGGAAGGCCATCGTGAAGGCCATGAAAGATCCAATCCCAGACACGGTACCGCAGAAGGCGGACGAGGTCGTACAGCGGCTGGTAGACAGGGTCTCGAAGTGTCAGGACAAGCTCTCAGATATCTGGAGTCGAGAGTGCAGCCGACCCGTTCATCTCGCGAACATTTTGCTCTGGATCTCGGCGTACATGGCGCTGTGTCTTTCGGCCATATCGGTGTGGATCTTCTTGTGGAACAAGGGCGGCACCTACAGGATAGCCAGCATCATCCTGGGCACAGCAGTCTTCGTCATCGGTTGCTTTGCCCCGCTCGCCTACTACTTGGTGTACCTCAAGGGCCCTGAGGCCGATGGCGACGGGGACCCAGCGGGTAGACATCAGCGCGAGATGGCACTCCCCGCCCCCGATGAGAAGGAGGTGGAGGAGGAGGAAGAAGCCGCCGCTGGAAAGGCTGAACGCCTCGGGCGTGACCCACAGCCCAAACCCGCGTGAATAGTAGGGAGTCGGCCTCTTGCTCCGCTTCACTCTTCTCGTCCTGCTTCTCCTCGTCCTCCTCCACGTTCTGCTGCTGCTGCTGCTGTTGCTGCTGGTCCTCCTCCTCCTCGTCCTCCTCCTCCTCCTCCTCCCTCTTCTCCTCCCCACAGCCTCCCTCTCCCTCCCTTGCCCCTCCTTGTTTTCCCTTCCCGGGGCAGGCCATGGTCGTGAGGATCGGTAGGCAACGCTTCGCTCGCTAACCTTGCGGTCTTGGCTGCCTCGATGTGAGTTCCTCTGCTGCGCGCGGGATATTACCTCCCCTCCGCCCTCCCCTCCCCTTTTCATCCCTTCTCCTCCCCGTATGTCTTCTCAGCCTTCCCTCCCCTTCCCTCTTCATCCCTGTGCCTTCCCTCTCCCTTCCTCTCCCTTCCTCTCCCTCCCCTCCCTCTCCCCTCGCCCCCCCCCGTTCACCACGCGTTTTCATCACTCACGGTCATCATTCGTCACGCGCCTTTCGCTTGTCACCTTTTCATCACGCACCACCGATCACTCACCCGTGGCGTCCCGTTCACCGTCTACTTGCGTACATCGTACTTTCACGCATCTTTTTCTTTCGCCGTTCACAGTTCCATCTGGCGTTCACCGTGTGTTCATGAATCTGTTTTTGACTCGCCGTCCACAGTTCACCATGTTTAATTTACACTTCCCAGGGACGTGACCGTCCACTTTCCCCATCTTTCACAATTTAACCTCCATCGTCCACCAGTTCTTCCCCTCCTGCTCCTTCACTGCACCCTTCCTTCATTTCTGGTGCTCTCGAGGACGGACAACCATCGTCGCCTTCACCCCAGGACAGGCGAAGTCGGTTCAGCTGCTGCGCACCCGCGTCGGACCTGTTCCGGGAGCCAAGGACGGTCGGAGCACCGCCCCCACGGCGCAGTGCGTCGCGCTTGGATGGCAGCGTGGTCCCCCGACGGACGAAGCCCAGCCCACCCCGCCGCCCCCTGTGGGCTTGAACTCCCCTGGGCGGACCTCGCTCTTCCCTCACCTCCTCATCCCCCTCCCCCTCCTCCTACTCCTCCTCCCCGTTCCCGCTCGGGATGACGTTGAGGATACAGGTCTCGAGGTTATATGGGCCCACGACCGCTCCTGCAGGTCCCTCGATATCTCTGGGCACATATTTGTCGATGGATCGTGCGCCACTCATACCGTCAAAGACCTCTCCAGGGCTGGGTGGGGAATCGCAGTTGTAGGGGATGACGGCGACGAGGTTTGCCGCATCAGTTGTCCTTTCTGGGCCCCCAACCTCCAAACTGCCCAAGGAGGGGAGTTTAGGGCCTACGCTGTTGCTGCGATGCACGCCCTGCCTGGGAGCTCCATCTACTCTGATTGTAAAAACGTAGTGGTTCAAGTGAACGAACCTCTGATGTGGGCCCTGTCTTATAAGCGTGTGTACTCTGGTTTTCTGCTCCCCACCCATCGGAAGTTGGTCGAGGGAGTTTTCAAGGTCAAGGCCCATGTGGAAGAATCTAGGGACCTTTCAGAGTTGGAACGATTCTGGAAGCTGGGCAATGACCTAGCTGACAGCGTTGCCAAAAAATCACACGTCAGGCACCCGCAACCCGACCCGTGCGATGTCGTTTGGCTTGATCGGTGCCTGTCTATCGCGAAGTGTGTTATGCGCTTTTCCGCTGAGCTTATGCCATTGTGGCCCAGGCTCGACCTAAAAGGCGTCCCTTTGGTCCCTAAGCCCCCGAAGCCCAAGGTGGATCCCCAGCCTCGTCGATGGGTTCGGGTTTCCGATGTTTGGCAGTGCTCCGAGTGTCTCAAAGTAGCCAAGGGAGTGCCGCGTTTTAGTCCTCCTGGCGAAGGGAAGCTCGGAGGCCTAGACCCACCGCCCCCTGGCAAGTGTCTCAGAGATTCCAAGCTTGAGGCGGCGACCCTTCGGGCCCTCCTGCACAATTGTATTGCCTTGCTTTGTTCGGACGGGGCTGTGCTATGCGATGATATGCCTATTCTTCCCATGGGCCGCCTCGCAATTTACTTAAGAAGTGTGACGGCTGTCCCCAGAGTGCTGGGGCCAAGGCGGCCTGGATTTCTGCGGGCACTGGTAAGCACCCCAAGCGGCGAGGCGTTTCTGTCGAGGTCGGGCCCTGGTATCGCGACCAGGACTCAGAGGAGCTGCCGCGGCGCCTCACCGACCTTGAAAAGGAGGTGCGCACTGCCAGTCTTGTGCGTAGGCTTATTGTCGCCGCTGGGGGAACGCCAAGCCCACCACCAGCCGTCCCAACGGAGGTTGAGCCCCCCTTGGCACATGTTGCTGCACAGAAGCAGGGAGATCAGGTCGTCAGCTGTTCGTCGTCGTCGAGTACCGAGCCTGCTCCTGTGCACGCGACAGTGGCTTCTGACCCGGTAGAAGTGGGGAGAGAAGCTTCTCCTGACAGGCTCAGCGGTTTGAAGCCTTTACCCCCTGCGTTGGAGCGGGAGACGGTGGGTCCTTTTATCGCTCCGCCCAGTTGGCCACAGGGCCGTATCTGGAGGGCCCGTCACGGGGGTACTGGTTCTTCGTTTGAGTCAGGCCCACACCAGGGACGGAGCTTGCTGCCGTCCTGGCGTTCGGCACACCAGGGGTAGTGGAGCCGAGTCGTCCTGGCGTCGCTTTGTGTTTTGTGCGTGTGCGTGTGCGCGTTTGCCCGTGTGTCAGGCACCCCAGTTGTGGGGGAAGGCGCGCAGCACGGGTGTAGTGTTCTCGAACTGTTATTTGGGCTTGGCATGGGGGCGAGCTCCGCCCCGATCGTTGCCCTGCCTGGTCTTCCGTTTTGCCAGACTCTGCGGTCTGAAGCTTTTGCTCCCTGCTTCGGAGCGGGAGACGGTGGGTCCTTGATCGCTCTGCCCAGTTGGCCATTGGGCCGCATCTGGAAGGCCCATCACGGGGGCGCTGGCTCGGCGGTTTGAGTCAGGCCCACACCAGGGGCGAAGCTGGCCACCGTCCTGGCGTTTCACTACACCAGGGGTCGGTCAGCCGCGTCGTCCTGGCGTCGCCTTGTTTGTTTGTGCGTGTGCGTTTGCGCGCTTGCTCGAGCGTCAGGCACCCCAGTTGTGGGGAATGGTGCGCAGCACGAGTGTTTCGTTTTTGACTCGGGCCTGGCACGGGGGCTTCCCCGCCTCGACCGATGCCTTGCCCGGTTTACTCCCTTCCCGCTCAGAGCGGTGGGGACAGCCTCCATGGGCGCAGTGCCGCCCGGGATGGTTGTTGGCGCGCGTCGGGCGCGCCTCAACCCTCGAAGAGGGAGGAGCCCCGCGCGTTGCTTCGCCTGTGGCGCAGTCCGACACATCGGACTTAAAGATGCCCCTTGGACTTCCCTGCCCGAAGGGCGTCTCGGCCTCGACCTCCCTTCTTTGGTCTTGGCCTTTGGGGGGCGGGCGGTTAGCCACAGGGGATCCTCCCCATTGTAGGAAATTGCCCCGTGGCTGCCTCGCCCGCCCTCCCATTGTTCTTCTCACACTGCTTGCTGGCCTGCCCTTATCCAGACCAGGGAGCAGGTAGCGACGGCGGATCCGTCGTCTGTTGGGCACGGTTGATGTCAAACAAATCCCCCTCCTCCTCCTCATCCTCCTCCTCCTCCTCCTCCCCGCCCACCTCCTCCTCCTCCTGCTACCTCTTATCCCCGCCGCGGTCGCCCCGCAGGCGTCCTGCAGCTTCTCGGCCCACAAGGACGCGCGCGCGCGTGCGTGTCGGCCGAGCCCCCCCTGGCGCATGCAAGCAGCCCTCGAGTTCCTCACGCAAGGACTCGGGGTGCTCGCTTACCAGCGGCTGCGGGGCGTGCTCTACGAGCGCCTCGTTGGCTATCCCTTCCCGGGGGACGAGGGCTCGCCCCCATGCGGGCAGCTCTTGGCCCCTCGGCTGGGGCCCCGAGGGCGGGAGAGGGGGCGCGTGCCCTTCCCAGCCCCCTGGGCCTCCGCCGCCCGCCGTCTGCCTCGGGCTGGCGGTGGACTTGAGCAGTGGGCTGACGCCCCTCCTGCTCTCCAGCGTGGTCGCCGCCTTGGTGGCCACCGCAGCTTGCTGCTGTTGCGGCGGCTGCTGCGTCGGAGCGCTTGCGCCCCGCTGCTGGGTTGGGCGCTATCGTGCCCCCCCCCCCCCCCCCCCAGCCTCAGCTGGCAGTGCGCCTGGATCCTCTCAGAGCACTTCCTGCTGCCCCCGTCTACGGGGAGCGCCGCGCGGAAGCGCGGGCCAGGGCGGCGGGCTACCGCCCTGACGTGCTTCCTCGCCCTGCTGGGGCCGAGGGGCACTAGCTTCTCCTCTGCTGCCCTCGGGCAGCCCAGGCATTGCCTGGTCGGGGTGCGCCCCGTCGGGTCCCTCTGGGGCTTGTCTCTTCTTCGCTTCTTGTATGGCTGCTGCCACTGGCGGTGCCGCAGCCGCCATTCCAGAAGGGCCTGTCTGGCCCGACCTTCACGCGTTCGACCCTCCCAGCGCCGACACCCACGCTCGATGGCGTCTGGGCGAATGCGAGCACGCGCGCGCAGCCGCCCCCCTGGGGCGCCGCGAAGGCGGTATTTTATTCGCTTTACTTATTGCCTTCAGGGATGCCGCTGCCCTCGGAGAAGCCGATGTAGAGGACTACTCAGGGCTGCTGGGGCCGCACCAAGTGACAAGCGCGCCGCTCCTAGGGGCGGCGTCTCGGGCCCTCGCCACCACGGCAGAAGTTCTGGCCATCGACCTCGAAGTGTCCGAGCTCGAGCGTCGTTAGGGCCGATGCCTCCCGAGCCACCGCCCGACGGCGTCACGCACGTGCCGTTCGCCTCCAGCCGCGGTCGCGACTACTGGCTTCATCCGTCAGGCGTTCGTCTGCTCAGGGACGGCCGGTTGTGCATTCACGGGCCCGAGCTCGCCGCTGGCGAGGAGCCTCACCCAGGCGCCTCTCGAGCGCCTCCGTGCCAGACAGCCGACGAAGGAGGTGCCGAGCTAGAGGCAGACTCGGAGCCCTCTCAGGTCGCCGAGGCCGAGGCCCCAGCTCCCTCTGCGGGCACGGGGCGGGGTGCGCCGAAGCGCGCAAGTCGCGCCCTTCTCATCCCCCCCTGGCGCAGCCGCGCCCAAGCGGTCTGCGCGGGTGGCGGGGCCCGTGCTCGACGAGCTGGACGGCGTACCTCTGACCCGTGCAGAGCTTCAGGCCGAGATTCGCACAATGATGGCCGAGCAGGCCTCGAGGTTGCATGGCCCGCCGCTCGGCGCTCCAGGGGCAGGCGTTCCTCCTCGGGCGGGCGTGCCCCAGCTCTTCGCAGACGAGGCCGCCCGCGTGGGTCTGCAAGTCTCTCCCGGGCAAGACGCGACGATGGGCGAGATCCTGGGGCGAGCGCCCGCGGTGCCCAGCCGCGTTCAACAGCGCCCCACCCCCGCCTCTGCTTTGGTGGCAGCGTGGGGCCAGCCGCCTGGAGGCGCCTCGCCTCCCAGAGCGTCCATGCCTCCGCTGCCGCCTGGCCTGGCCGCTCATGCGGGTGGCGCAGCCGCCGAGGCGGCCGCCGCGGTGTCGGAAGGGCTACAGGGAGCCCCCCCCCCCCCGCGACGGACCTGAGTCTAGTTCTGCAGCGCCTGCAGGCCTCGCTGCAGCAACAGCAGCGGGTCGCGCGGGCCACCGCTCACCCGCTCTTGGGACCGCTGAGCGAGGCAGCTCAGGATCTGCCGAGCTACGGCGGCAGCGGCAGCGGAGGGATCGCCCAGCATCCAGGCATGCGAGGGATCGCCCGCCGTCGGGATTGGCAGAACACGCTGAACCAGCACGGGCCCGAGATCAGGGCTTTGATGCGATCGAACCTCGCAAGACCGCTGGGGGTCGACCCTGCGGATCTGACGCCTCGCGCGATGTTCACATACTTTCGCGAGCACAGCCCGTCGGGGGCCAATTCCGCACTTCGCCCTCTGCTCGCCCACATGGCATGGCTCAGTGCCGAGCTCTGGCGCGCGGCAGAAGAAGGACGAGCGGATCGAGTGCACACGTTGATCGCCTGCCAGTGCATGTTTGCAAACCAGACGGCAGGGGATCATGGGGCGGCTGGGAGCGCCCTGGTTCCTCCCGGGGCTGGAGGGTCCCCCGACCAGGACGACCGCCTTGCACACGGGACGGGAGGTCCACTTTCCTTTCTCGGAGCTGGTGGACCCGCGGTGGTTGTCCGCCCAGGGGGAGTACATGCGGGAGCTGCATGCTATCCGACAGCAGCTGGCCCCCTCACAGCCGAAAGCTCCCAAGGCGGAGCACAAGGCGCCCAAGACGCCCAAGAAGCCCCCGCCGCCCAAGAAGTAGCGGCGGGGCCTGGTGCGTCTGCTTGCGGAGGGACGCGCTTGTGGGTGGCGGGCAAGACGCCCGTTGCCGCAGCGCGGCGCTTCTGGGCTGAGCGGTCTCGCGGTGGTAGGCGCGGGGGGTCCCAGCAGGGCCGTTACGACCTTGCAGGGGGCCCCGCGCGCCGCCATGGTGAGTCTCGCTTGGCCCCCGAGGCTCCTTCTGCTCCTTCTGCCGTCATCGGCTCTACCTTGCCCAGCATGCCGTCTGCCTCGGTTGCTGGGGGTCCGCCTCCCTTTGTGCTGGACCTCTCTGCCTTGCTGCGCCTCTTCCCTGGCGCCAACATCGACGTGTCCCACTGGGCTGCTGCTCTTGCCCAGGCGGGGATGGGCAGTCGATGCTCGCTGGCCTCTGTTGCCCGCTCTTCTCTCTCCGCGTCGGCTCGGGGCTCCTCTTATGAGCGAGCGCCCCGCGATCCGTGGCCGTGCCCGCCTGCCCCAGCTCTGCCGCCGCCCCCCTCCTCGATGGTGGGCCGGGCGCGGGAGCGTTGGCGGATCCGTCGGGCTGCGCGGACCTTGTCTCAGCATGCGGTTGTCGCTCTCAACTGGCTGACGCTGGGACATCCTAGCTTCGCTCCTCCCGAAGCTCAGGTCCGCGAAACGGTCACCCCTTGCCGGGAGGGGATTCGCGAGCGTCTGGAACGCTTGTGCAGGATTGCAGTTCGCCTTGCCCGTGGTGGCAAGAGCGACCTTGGTCGGGCTTTTCCCAAGTTCGACTCCACTGAGGTCTCGCTCCGTGGTCTGGCTACCCACGTTGCAGCTCTAGAAGCCTCCTTAACCTCTTCCTCGCAGGTGCCCGCCCCCATGCGGACCCTGCCCGTCAGCGCGACCCCCTTGGTCGATTTGTTGGCTGCCGCGGCGGGCTGGGACTCCACTCAGGCCGAGCCCTTCGACCTTCGGGCCCGGGCGGACCGCATCAAGTGGGATTATTCACTCCGTTGGATCCCACCCCGTTTCTTGCCGACCCGTTGGTCCGTTCTGCTTTTCACGATCCCGAGATCATGCGTCGGCCTCCAGAGAGGACTGGCCCGACGGGATGCCACCCGCTCGGGTGCATATGGACAAGTCGGAGCTCTGGGCCCTCCTGGAGAAATGTGACTCTTGTGGAGCTCTTTATCTTACCCCCACGTCGGACCTTGCCTGGGACGAGGCTTGCGGGGCTTTTCGAGTTCCCAAAGACGAGCATCACGATCGGCTGATCTTGAACCCCACCGTGGTCAACAGTCGATGTCAGAGCATCTCGTCCAGCACTCAACGGCTGGGTCAGGGATTTCTGCTCTGTCGCCTTGGGTTGGCTCCAGGCGAGTGGCTCGCTGTGTCACGCGATGACCTTCGGGAATTCTATTACACGTTCCAGGTGCCGCCTGCTCGGGCCAGGCGGAACGCGCTGCGAGTGCGCCTCCCGAGCAGTCGCTTTCGGACCTTTCGTGCCTGGCGCC